TATTGTTAAATGTGCTAGAAATACCTCTGGATTACTGGGACTGCAGTTTAAGGTACTAGAGTTGGAGGAACTGCATACTTTTGGAAGACACTTTAAAAAAGGTCTTTGCTGGAAAATAATTGTTAAAATTTTACTGAGCCTGGTAGCAGTGAGACCCTCAGCCCTGCACCTTCCTGAATTTTGCCTGGCTTTTGGCAGCTGGAAAACAAGGTCCATCCATAATGTGAGAAGTCTGCACAGTCCCACCTCCCACCTGTGCTGCTCCTTTACCAAGAGCAGGAGCTGATCAAAAATAAATTCACCCCAAAGATGCTGATCTTTGAGCACTAAATTGTAATAATTAAAAAAAAAAAACCTAAATCCATAAGATTTGTGCCTGAGCTTTCTCACTTTTCCATCAGTCTCCCTCTTCATGGTTCTCTTTTCTCTTTGTTAAGCTCCAAAGAGGTAACTGTGGCTGCAGGTACCTCCCACCACGTCCCTGCAAGTAAAAGGGAACAATGAACAGTGTGGTGTTGGCAATCCTGCCTTTGGGGCATCCAGAAATGTTTGTAGGGAAGCCAGTCCTGCCTAGTAAAGGAGCACAAAACAAAATTGCCATCAGGAACAGGTGTGGAAAACTCTTGCATTTGCTCTTACTGTCCCATCTCTGTTCAACAATCACCAAAGCCAGAAAAAAAAGCCAGAGTTGGGGAATTCTGTTCAGCAATTCCCTCCCTCACCTTCAATACCAGTGAGTACTTGCAGTGTTAGACAGCATCAGTCTCAGGCAGTGCTTGGGGAGTACAAATGTTCTGGTGCACGACTTTGAAACAATAAATCGCTCACAGATAATTCTTCAGGAAAGAATTTTCTACTTTTGACAGCAGAAAATTTTATTTGGCTAAAGGAAAAACAAAAATCTCTCAAAATTAAATTTTGAGTCTGCTGAAGCACATCAGGAATGTTCCAGATTATGACAACAGAGTTGGCTTAGATTTTTAAAGTGCAGACAATCCCTATTTCCTCTCTCTCCACTGCAGTGGTTTCCATGCATCCAATGCTGACTGTGTAAGGGATTACACTGGTGCTGCTGCTTCTGCCTTATCCCATCATTTCTCAGAGGGCTTTTGGATCCCCCAGCGTGGCTCCTGTGTGAATCTAGTTTTGTATTAAACATGATTGAAAAACTGTCTGGGCTCACAGTGACTGACAACTGAGAAACTGCCTTACTGTTACGTGATTTTTTTTTTTTTTGTAATAAAATCTTTAATGTATTAAAAAAAAAAAAGTGAACAGGCTTAAAATAAAAGCCACTGCCATTAGCAGTGAGAAATCCTCCACATCCAACTCTCCTCGTATGTGGCTGCTATAAATCTGATCACACAGACTTTGATCAGCATTTGTGGAAAGCAAGCTGCTCTGTTTCCCTTCACCACCTCACTGGGCAGGTGCAGGAGCTGCTCCTACCCCAAATTCCTGTTCAACACTAAACTTTGTGTCTCCACAGCACTAAAGGACTGTGAGAGGGGAGGGCAGATAATGCTGGCCTGAAAAAGCAGGGTCAGCTGCTGAGGTTCCCTTTTCCAGGGGTGACAAATCTTTATTTTGTGAAGCCAGAAGGTCAAACAACCACTTCCCCTGGAATGGTTCTGGGGAGGGGAATAAAGCACCAGAGACTGCAACAGCACAATGAACTCACACGTGGGAAGGTCAGGCTGGCCTCTCCCATAACCAAAACCTCTGGGGTTTGTACACCACAGCCCTCCTTAATGTAGAGACTGAAACTCTCAGTGGGAAAAAACGTGGCTGGGACTGCAGTGTGCCTGAGGTAATCCTGCAGAGCTTGTGCTTAATTCCCACCGTCAGGAACCTGAATAAAAAGCACAGCAAGGGCTGGTGGGAGGCCTCGATCCTTTTGCCTGTGTGCTGCCGATGGAGCACTTGGCTTGCAGGTAGAGAACTGCCCCTGACACAGCTGATGTGCTCACACATTTGGCAGCTGTGGCACAGGAAATAAGCCTAAAGTGCACCAACACTCTTTTATTTTGGAAAGGTGATGGGGTTCCATCCCCAGCCGCCCCCTGCTGCTGAGCTGCTGCCCTGCCCCAGCCAAAACGTGCCTTGGAGGAAGGGAAGGGCTCTGGATCAGCCTGGAACAGCCCTGTCCCACCCCATCAGTGACTTCCCAGCATCCTACCTGGGGCTCCTCTGGCACAGCTGCACCTGGAGCGTGGCCATGGGGGTCACCAGCATGGGAGGAACCCAGCAAGGGTGAGGACCTCAGCAGCTGGAAATGCAGGGTAAGGCCAGAGTCAGGGGAAAAGGCCTGTGAATGGCACAGGGCAGGATAAGATGAAGAGAAAGGAACGGGTCTGACAGGATCATAGAATCCCAGAATGGTTTGGGTTGGGAGGGACTTAGAGCTCACCTAGTTCCACCCCCTGCCGTGGGCAGGGACACCTTCCATCAGACCAGGCCTTGTCCAACCTGGCCTTGGACACTTCCAGGGATCCAGGGCCAGCCACAGCTCCTCTGGGCAGCCTCCTGAGTGCCTCACCACCCTCACAAGATAGAATTTCTTCCCAGTATCCCATCTGTCCCTGCCCTCTGGCAGTTTGGTGCCCTTCTCCCTTGTCCTGTCACTCTGGACCCTTGTCCAAAGTCCCTCCCCAGCTCTACCAGAGCCCTTTTAGGCACTGGAAGGGGCTCTGAGGTCTCTGCAGTTTCCTCTTTTCTAGGCTGAACAATCCCAGCTGTGCCAGCCTTTCCTCCCAGCAGAGCTGCTCCATCCCTCTGATCATCCTGGTGCCTCCCCTGGACTCTCTCCAGCAGCTCCAGGTCCCTCCTGTGCTGGGCCCCAGGGCTGGGGCAGCTCTGCAGGTGGGGTCTCACCTGAGCACAGGGACAGAGGGGCAGAACCTTCTCCTACAGCCAGGGGAAAGGCAGCACAAGGCTGAAGGGACCTGCACAGGGACTGCAGAGACTGGACCTGCCCACACTCTTGGCCCCATCAGGGAAGGGGTCTTTGACCATCCCCCAACCACCCTCCCCCAGCTGCTGGACTCTGACCTCGGAGGGATTTGGGTATTTCATCATCGAAATATGATCCTTCCCATAATCAGTGACTCACACGGCTGCTTCGGATCCCCCACTAACCCGAACCACCTCTTCCCCCTGCTGAACACCGACCGGAGCCAGGAGAAGGAGCTCAGCCCCTCAATCCCACGTCCTCCCCAGCACAGTGCCACGGGAAGGATCCTGGCACAGCCACGGGAAGGAGGAATCGCACCCCCAGGAGCTGATGCGGAGCCAGGAGGGTTTTCCCAGCTCCATCAGGGATGGGGGCTCATTCCCACAGGCGAGGGGGACACAGGAGGCGGCGGCAGGAGGGGCCGGGCCGGGTGTAGCCCCCTGTCCCTCCCCATCCAGGAGCGCTGCCAGCAGCCCCGCAGTGTCCCTGGGAACGCGTGACTCACCACGGCCCGGGGCCGCTCTATATTTAAAGCATTACGGAGGCAGAAATGAATGCACGCAGCCAGGAGCTGCCTGTGCCGAGGTCAGCGCCAGGTTCACAAAGCGATCGTCAGAGTTCACCACCGTGGCAAAAAAAAAAAAAAAAAAAGTATCTGCACCCCTTAAATCTTCAGAGAGAGAAAAGCTGGCCCCGGGAAGGGGTTTTTGTGGCTGGAGTGGGTCGAAGGGAGGCCAGAGAACCTGCAGGGTCCCACTGTGCACGTCCACAGTCGGGAGTTCCTCGCTGCTGCAGCTGCTGAGCCACTCCCCGAGGGAAATCTGGAGGTTACTTTTACTCAATCCTACATTTTTCCCGGTCTTCAGATCCCGAAGTTTGGGTGCAACCAAGCTATTTGCAGCTGGACTGAAAAGCTCTCAGGAGGCTGGTTTAGGGAGGGAAGGAAGGAGAGTGGCTCATCCCCGGGTCAGGGCAAAGGGGCTGCCACGTTTTGGAAAAGCAGTTAAACTGCTTTTTATTCACAAACCTTTGCTTCGGGACCAGTGACAAACAGGAAAGTTTCTGACTCCTCTTTAGCCATGCTCTGCTCTCTGCCAGCTGCTCCCTCCCCTCCCTGTTCTGTTTTCCTAATTCCAATTGATTCTGCAAACAGCCTGGGCTTCAGAGCCACCCGCTCCCGGCTGCATGTCCTGCTCGCGCCACATTCCCCGTGGTTTGCCTCCTCTGCAGTCCTGCCAGCGTTTCTTCCCCTCTCCCTTCGCCTTCAGCAGCACATGGATCAGTCACCAGGGACTGAGGGATGACAAATAAAGCTGTGCTCTGGAATTGCCTCCAGAACAACCCTAAAAGGCTCTACATAAAAAGCAGGACACCATGCAGAGACACCCAGAGGCTCTTAGACATTTCCAAGCTATTCCCAAATAGCTGTGTTGCTCTTTTCTACATTAATTTCTGCCAGGCTGTTGGCAAAGGCTGGGAGAGCTGGGACTGCAAACTGGAGTGCCAGGCAGAGCAGGGATTGAACCAGCAGAGACACCAAAGGCTCCACTCACTGCAAGACACAGCGTGGGGCTCTTCAATCCAGTTTGCCCTGCCCTGGGGCTCCTGACAACAAATTCCAGGGACCATTTCCACCTGCGACTGTCACCAGCATGGTCTGAACAGCAGGAGAGGCCCGAGCTCTCCAGTGCTCCTGCAGGAAAGTCCTCACTTCCCCAGCACCCCCTCTGCCCTGTGCCAGGGGTGACACAGATGTCACAAAAGGCTTACACTAGGCAGGGATTTGCCTAGAATTCCCAAGCTGCCAACCTCCCTTTCCCAGTTTTCTCTGCCTCTGGGTTTATCTCCCCAAAAGGCAAAGCTGGTTTGAGGTTCCCCTGGGACCTCCTGCACTCCTAAATGTCCCCTCACCCATAACTCAGCCCTGGCAGCCATGGGCCTCAGAAGAGATGGAACAAGCAGGCAGCAGCGGCCTCTGGCTCCACACCATTTCACAGGAGAGGGACTAACCAGCTTGTTTGCTCCCTTCCCCACTTCTCTGACTTACCCATCTAAGAACCCAAGCCTTGGCTGTGGTTCCTCCTCCTTATCCCATGTCTGGAGCTCATCACCCAGGGCCACGTGCAGGGACACAGGCAGTGCCATGGAGCTCTGGCCCTTCAGAAGCAGCAATGCAGCAGAATCTCCTGCAAAACAATAAAATGCCAGAATTTGCATCTGTGTTTGGCACAGATTTGAAATGCCTGCAGCCCAGCTCCTCCTGAGAGGCCATGCTGTGCTGGGGCACATCTGAAAAGCTTTCTAACAGCAGCCAGAGCCTTCCTACACCATTTCCCTTCTCCGTCCTTTGTGAGTCCTTTGCTTTGTCTTTTGCTGTTGGTGTTCATTTGGTTGCTTTCTTTTTAATGAGCAACTCTGAGCCCTCCACCAGCTGAGCAGCCCCTGGGTCCTGGCAGGCCTGGTCCCACTCCAGAACCAGGACCTGCCCCACAACCCATTCCCTGGCTCAGGTTTCAGTGCCAGCCTTTCCTCCTGGTCACCTGTGCTATACACGTTTAATTTCCATCTCACAGGAGCTGTGACAATCAGCCACATCACATCAGCCCCCCGTGCACATCAAAGGCAAGCACTCACCCACCACATTGATCCTGGAATAGCCCTGAATGCAGTGTTTGTAACCCCAAACTACTCCAAGCTGCTGGATCAACCCCTCCGAGGCTCCGTGGGTTTGCTAGGAGCAATCCCCCCAGCAGCTAGGCTGGGTGAAGATCTCATCCCACCCCTCACGTACCCAGGAGGCCTAAGGAAAAGGCGAGGGGTGCTCCTCAGCCTGCCCCAGCAGCAGAAATTTTGGACACATACTCTTCATCTCCCGGCAGGCTGGGGAGGGAGCGAGGCGGTCCATGCGGTGCCCTGGGGGCACAGACCCCGCTCGGGGAGCTGCACAGGGACCTGTCCCGGCGGGATTGTGCAAACCCCCAGCTCCGGGAGCTGAACCCGCTCCGCATCTCGGCGCTGCACTTTGCCCCCCGGCTGCGGTGAGCTCAGGCCGGCTCAGCGTTTAAAGTCCAGGCAGAAGGGAGGCAGCGGCTGTGCAGAGCTCAGCTGTCCCCGCTCTCCTGCCCGGGGCTCGGCACTGCGGCATGCGGCTGCTGCTGCAGGCAGCGCTCCTGTGCCTCACCCTGCGCTTGGGCCACGGCACCCAGGAGGCAGCAGCCGACAGCCCCGGCCACCAGGATCCGACACCGGAGCCGTCCTATTCCGACTGGGGCCTCGACACCATCCGCGGCGGCTTTGAGACGGTGAACAGCTACTTCGACTCCTTCTTGGAACTGCTTGGGGGGAAAAACGGGGTCTGTCAGTACCGATGTCGATATGGTAAGTGAACCTCACTGCTGCTGGCTCCCTTCTCCTTCCCTCCTGGCCAGGGACACCGAGCCCCCACCTGCCCCGGGAACTGCCCGCTCTGGAAAGGCGCTGCGAGCACAGACACGGCAGGGAAGGATGCAGGTTTTCCTGGAAGGGCTGTCCAGCTCCCCGGAGCCTGGGAGAGGACAGGGAGGGGAGGCTGAGCCGGCGGCACTAATCTCAGCAACCTTCGGAGTGTCCTTGCTGAGCAGCTGTGAGCTGGCCGGCGCGGAGGAGAGATAACGGGGACAAACCACACGTCACCGGGAGGAGCCTTTAGTACTCCGGGCAGCTCCTGCTTGCTTTGGGCTTCCGAGTGATTTACCAAAAAGGAATAGTTTGGTTTGTCCTGGGGGCAGGATGAACCAAAAGGGTTCACGTGATGGGGTGCACAGAGCTGTGGGGTGACAGGGCCATCACCAGGGTACCCCTGGAAACAACCAGGACAAAGAGATGCTGCAGGGCTGGGACCTCAGCTCCCTGCCAGGGGCAGAGGGGCCCTCAGGAGGTTAAAATCAGTCTGAAAGTTGCTGAGATTTTTGTTTTGTTTCATAAATAATATCACAGAATCGTAGAACAGGCTGAGTTGGAAAGGACCTATCAGGATCATTGAGCCCAACTCCTGGCCCTGTGCAGGACACCCCAAGAGTGCCTGTGCCTGGAAATGTTGTCCAAACACTCCTGGAGCTCTGGCAGCCATGAAACCACTTCTCTGATGAGCCTGGAAATACTTCCAGCTCCAAATTCAGAGCAGAAAGGGACTTGCCCTCCTTAATGTTGAGACTGAAAGCTCTGGCAGTGGGAAAAACGTGGCTGGAACTGCAGTGTGCCTGGGATAATGCTGATACTCAGAGCTGGCTTCAGGGAGCCTCAGGACCCACCAGATCGTGCAGAAGTCGCTGCTTTTGGACACATCCAGAGGGCTGTCCCTGCCCGTCCTTGTGAAAAGCACCTCCAGAGAGAAGCACAAATCCCTGCCCACACCCCAGGAGCAGCCTGCATCTTACTGGAACAGTGTTTTACCTAGAAAGGAAAACAAGCACATCCTTAGCCCAGTTCTCATCCTCTGCTGAATAGCTCATTAATCACTGCCTGAAGGGGGAAACTGCTGAAATGCTGCCCACGTGCTCCAGGGGTCTTGCTGGACCTCTCCAGGACCATTTGTCCTTGCTAATCTCTGGCACAGACATTGCAAACTGCGAGTGGAGAGGATGCTGGGATGGTCCCAAACCAGTGAGAGCCAGTGCTTGCTCTGAAGGATGAACACAAACCATCTTTGTGCTGAATCAGGGCCTGATTGCCTTTTTTTTCCCCCCAGGCATGAAGCAAAAATTATTCCTTCTTACTTATTTCTGTTTCAGCCAAGAGATATCAATAATAGCTTATTTTGCCACGGTAAAGGTCAGGACTCACCTGTGATTGCCACATCCATCTTCAGCTGAGCACATGGCATTTGGCTGTTCCAGCTGTAAGACTCTCCTGATTTTTCAGCAGCTACTGAGGTCTGAAAACAACCAACTTGATGGATTACTCCCTTAAATCAGGACGTTAGGGTTACACTAGCATTTACTGGCGAAAATACCCTCCTGCTTACAAAGTCTCACTGGGCATCTCAGGGGAAACAAACAGCCTGAGCTGGGAGTGGAGCCCTTGTAGCTTCCTCCTGGCCAGGCAAGACTTCAGTGCTTTGCTCAGCATTTGGTCCTGAAGGGTTTAAGATGAGGGGGGCACCTCCAGGCTGTGAGAAAAGCCTTCAAAGCCAGCTCTCCAACAGGGCATGCAAGGCTGGGTGTGTGCAGGCACCTCTGCTCAAAGCCTGCCTGCCTGGGGCACACAAACAACAATGGACCACCCAAAACTGCAAGGAGCCCCGAGACCATCCATCCCCCAAAAAATACACTCACCTCCCCCTGCCAATGTCCCAGCACTGCAGTGCCTGAGACCTCCTGCATCGCCAGCTGGCTGCTTTCCAGCCTGTTGGAACAGCTACAACAGCCTGGAGGCATTAAAATGCATCAGGAAAACTCAACTTCAGTTCTAGGGCTGTGCCAACAAGGCAGTGAAATCTATCTTCTCTTGTCTTGTAAGGATGGGTAAGCAATAAATGATAACAGGAGCACTGAGTAGATGCTCACAGAGAGGCAAGAACACCTGATACTCCTGTTTTGCTTTTGTTTTCCTGTTAACTAGAACACAAGATGCGGGGGAGAGGTTAATTGTGGTGTCTTGGACTTGACCTAGATGAGAAAGAGTACAAAGGGGCACTTTACAAGTTTTAAAGCTCTGTTTTGCAGAGGGGAGGGGACAGGATTCCTACAAGGGCTTATCCTGAAGGCAGTTTGATGTTTTGTGGATCAGCACAATCCTTATGTGAGGGTTGGGTTTTTTTCCCTCAGGACAACTTTCTAAAACATTATAATAGCTGTGACTTTGGAATTAAAGATCTGGAAAGGCAGCTATCTTTGGCTGGGGACTGGATAACTGGATGATCTTAAAGGTCCCATCCAACCCAAGCCATTCTATGATCTCCACACCCCCAAAAAGTCTCCTCAGACTTGCCATCTTATCCCAGTCAGTGTGCTGCAGGAACAAAATTCACAATCAATATTACAAGCAAGTCACTCAGATTTGACTCCATCCTGCGAAACCCACGGTGGATTTTGAACTTTCCTCTGCCTCCTGCATCAGTTCAGGAACATTTGAATTCTGAGTCCCAGTTCCCATCCCTTTCCAAAAAACCAACAAGGCTCTTTTGGAAGGGGAAAATTACCTGTGGCACCTCACAGCTGGACAGGGTTTCACTTTGTTATTTATTTGTAGCAAATCTGTCATTTAAGCAAAACAGCTCTGGCAAACTTTAATTGAGAGGTGCTGGGAACACTCCTACATAAGTCCCTCTGAGGCTTTTGTTTGTAAGGCCTTCCCAAGGGCACAGCAGATTTATGGTTGAATTAACCACTGGCATTTTAGGTACCTCAACAGAAAAATGGGGAAAGCGTCTTAAATAATTCCTGGTGCTGACAAGAAGCAAGAAGTGAAAATGGACTTTAAAAGAACCCAACCCTGCCTTGAAGGGCTGAATTAGATCCATTTCATGTCTATATAAATTCTCTAGCCGTGCTCAGGGAAGCAGAAACTTAACCCTTGATGTGATGGGTTTCAGAAAGCTCAGCTCACGCGTGTTTTTGTTGGAGCATTCACACAGTTTATGTTTTCCCAGAGCAAGGACAGGACCCAGGAAATGGCTGGAGTTGTGTCAGGGCAGGGTTAGGCTGGATATCAGGAAAAGGTTCTTCCCCCAGGGGGTGGTCAGGCACTGAACAGGCTCTCCTACAAAAATCAGATTAAAATGCTGCTGAAGGTACAGCTAGAGCTGGCTGTGAGCTGGACTCTTCCTACATTGGGTAAATAATTATTCACAGAGGGACTTCTTGCTCCTTTATGCATATTAAGAAGCAGACTGAGGAAGGTGCAGAGATTAAGGGGATATAAATGATTTGCAGAAGGTGGTGGTGCATCACCACAGGCAGAAAATGGACCAAGAAGACCTGCTCAGAGCAAGATCAGACATGCAAGGTCTGCCACAGTTTGGGGGAGACCCACAGCACACCAACAGTCCAAGAGTGAACTGAGGATAGAAAGATCCCACAACTGTAGTGTAACCAGCAGTGTTTGGGGATGCCAAAGGGGAGCTGCCCGTCACTCCTTGCTTTTTGGACCTGGCCTCGGGAAGATCAGCTTTCCTAACCTTTGTCCTGTCTTTTCTTTCCCAGGGAAGGCTCCCATGCCACGGCCTCACTACAAACCCCAAGAACCCAACGGCTGTAGCTCCCATTTTCTGGGGCTCAAGGTACCCGAAAGTGTATGTACTGTCCCACCCACCATTCCCAAAGGATGCAGCTCTCTCATCTCACCACCAGCTCATCATTCTGGGCGAGGAAAAGGCTGGGCTGGGCTGGGCTGTGCAGCTCGGTGACAACAGGCTGTGTGCACACAGCAACACCCGAGTGCATCCTCCACACCTGCCCCCTTTCACCTCTTCCCACACTTTTTGCCTCTGCCAAGCACTGGATTAAACTCACAGGCTTTAATACTGCACCCGCTCGTTAGCTTAAAGGCAATTAATGAAATCGTATTGGAATCACCAGGAGAAGCTTTCCCAGGAGGCTCTCGGAGCAGGGATTTCTATTTATCTCATGCATTATTGCTGCCCATGGAGTCTGCAGCAATTAGGCAGATTCCCGCCCTGACAACCCCTGTCTTTGCAGCCAGTTTTTCATGTTAGGTTTAATTCCTGAGACTCTATTTCATTGCAAACCTTGTGGGCATTTCTGTGGTGCCTCCTCTGTACCCAGGCAATCACGAGTGCAACGAAGGAACAATTCATCTCTTAAATTTTACATGAGGAAGGGCAAAAAGAGGAATCATTTATAACAAGCTAACAAGTCCAGTCTCTCCAGGAGACAGGCCTTCTGCCCCATCACCCCCAGGGTTATTAGCTAAGCTTACAGGGAGCAGAACTCCCCTGCCCACGCTGTGCTTGTCCTCGGCCTCAAGTGCATCCCTGAGAAATAAGGCACTAAATTACTTACGGCACATTTGTTAGGCCAAAAAAGCAGGACCTTGTGAGGTTATGGGAGAAAGAGGAAAGAGAAAAGGAGCCTTTGCCACTGTTGGCAAGGACATGGAGCTCCCTGATGAGGTCTGACAAATGAAAACCAGAAAATGGCCATGGAGGGGCTGTTTCCCACCTCTCTACCAGACCGTAACTCCCAGCACACAGAGGCGAGAAGAGAATGTGATGTAGCCTGCACTGAACCTGCACCACTGACACCACTGTGCTGCTCCCTCATCCTCCTTTAGATGCTGAGGGAGCAGCACACATTCCCTCCTGCTGCCCCAGCTATCAGGAACAGCTTCTGGAAAAGGAGCCAGCTGGGCTCTGCAGCACCTGACTCCGTTCCAGCTGTGTGAGCCTGAGGCCAGGACGCAGCCAAGGGACACTTCTTCTCTCTTTCCCCAGCTAGACTTGGGCATCCCTGCCATGACCAAGTGCTGTAACCAGCTGGACATCTGTTATGACACCTGTGGGGCCAACAAATACCGCTGTGACGCCAAGTTCCGCTGGTGCCTCCACTCCATCTGCTCCGACCTCAAGCGCAGCCTGGGCTTCGTCTCCAAGGTGCAAGGTAGGCTGCCCACCTCACATTCCCTGGGCAGAGAGGCCTGGAGGGGAGGGTGTGGGCAGGGAGCCCCTTCCTTGCCAAAAAGGAAGCAGAACTCTGCAGTAGGGAGCAGCATGTCTGCCCTGCACTTGTCACGGCTGGGTGAGAACGCAGAGATCTGTCCCCTCTGCCACACGCTTCTGTCCCAAGGCTGGAGACCTATGGTTATTATCTGCATTTAGAAAACATGTACAATGTGCGAAAAAACCCACAAACAACCCTGGAAGCAATTCCTTTAAAACTTGGATACACTCCCAGACAGTTCAAGCACCTTCACAGGATACCAAAAAAGCCTTCCAGGGCCAGTGAGGCACACACTGAAACCTGTACGTGGCCAGGGGCCAGCAAAACCGAGAGAGCCAAGGACAGGGTTCTCAGGGATCTGCTCTCACATAAGAGATGATGATGATGATGGCACTAGGGACACACCAGGCTGGGTGGTGGCTAAGACACTGCAGGTTCAGAAGGGTTGACAAAGCTCTAGTGATGCACCAGCAGCTCAAGTGCCACCCTGGTTTTGCCTAATTTAACTCTCCTCAGCCTGCAAGTCTGAGAAGAGCTTTTTTGGTAACATCTGCTGACACCCTGCTCTAAGGTATCCTTAAATAATGATTTGTTTTCCAAAGGTGCAGCCTGATTAGGGCACATGGGAAGTCTGCATGACACCAGTACTAGTGCAGATGGCTTCCTACCTGGTCACAAATAAATGCATGGAAAGAATGCCCAGGCCAGCAAGAGAAATCAAAGACGTGGACTGAGACATAAGTGCTGCAGGCTGAGCACAGCCAATCTTTCATGGTCACCCTTATCAACAGGTCCTCACAAAGCCAACTTCTTCTCTCTTCACATTTTCCCCTGACACTTTTTCATATGGTTCCTTCTTGCTCTCTGCTTGCAGCAGCAAAGCAAACCTAGATCCTAGGTTAAGGTTAGAGCAGAGCCCACACTCCTGGGCTGAGCCAAGCTGCCTCTGCCAGGCTGGATTCCTCCAGCATCTCTGTCCTGGCTGCTGTAGGAGCCACAGGTAACACCAGTGAACCTCTGAGCCATCCTCCCCTCTCCTTGGGCTCTACAGATCCTGTCCCCAGGGCTGCTCTGAGCAGCTCCTGTCACAGTTCTCCTCCACAGCCATCCCAGCTCTTATCTGGCATCCAAAGCCTTGTTTTTCCCACTGGCTCACCACAGCCTCTCCAGTGCCTGCCAAGTGAGCAGCCTCCTAAGGGAACAGGAGCTCTGAGGCGTTTGGAGAGGAGAAAACAGTCCCAAGGGCAAGTCTTTCCCAACTTCATCATGCATACAGCAATCAGTGCCAGTAAATAAACCCTAAAGAACTAATATTAACCTGTTTATTTACTGACAAGCACTTTCAGGGTTGTTTATTGGGGTGAGGAGGCGTTAGTAGTCAGGCAGTCAGCTGCTCCAGCTGCCGTAGGATTTTTCATGCTGGCTGGCAGGTGGCATCATAACTCCCCAAAAAGCCCAGAAAGGTTGGTTAATAGTGGCTCTAGGCAAAGCTGAGAGGAGGAGGAGTAGTGTGGAGGCCTCCTGGGAAATCTGTTTGGTAAAGAGTGCTGTTTGCAGAGCCCCAGATGATCCATCAACCAGTAAGGCCTGAAAGAGGCAAGAAAAAAGGGGTTTAGGTGGGGAGAGGAATTACTGCCACCCTGGGGACAAAAGAGGAGGGAACCTCAGGATTTAGGATTTTAGAGAAAAGATGACAGCCCACGCTTCCAAGTGCAAGGGGACAGCAGGTGAGTGCAGGCCTCGGGCTGGGAGTGCCCCTGTCCTTACCTGCCCATCCCATCCTCCTCCACAGCCTGTGAATCCATGGCAGACACGGTGTTCAACGCCGTCTGGACCCTGGGCTGCCGGCCCTTCATGAACAGCCAGAGGAGCGCCTGCATTTGCAGCGAGGAAGAGCGGGATGAGCTGTGAGGAGGAGCAGCTGCCCCGGTCCCCGTGAGCCCCTCTCCAGCGCAGTGACTCCTGCCAGGCCCAGCAGGGGCTGGGGACCCGGGCTGAGGTGGCTCTGGGCACAGCTGAGCCAGCCCATGGACAGAGGGCAGCCGTGCCTGCTGCAGGTGCAGCTCCACAGCCCCAGCGCCCCTTTCCAAGCCCTCCAGGCAGCAGGATCCCATGCCAGCTCTTTCCATCGGGAGAGGCAAGCAGGATGCAGTGCTGGTTATAAACACGGGGCTTACCTTAAATACACACTATTACCTCCCCCCACCCTGTAACTCTCTAATTTGCAGTGCAAGGCATTAGGTTTCTGCAAGCCCTGTGAAATTCCCAGTCCATGGATGTGCTATTTGCAGTTTTGCATCACTGGTGACAGACTGAAGAGGGGAAATCTGCTTTCAGTACGTTGCTCACGCCCATCCCTGACACTTTCCATCCTGTCATTACACACCTGGACAACCCTGCATATTTAAATAGTTGGTGGGTCCTAAACTGATTTAAGACATCCAGAGATTTCTTAAGCATGAGTTAAGGGGAAGGGCTTGAGGTGTTTGTGGTACACAATTGATATTTGGGACCAAAGCCCACCATTTAATTTATCAGACGTGAAACCACAGCCCTCTCCCCCAGTCTCAGGAGAGGAAGCCGCTTTTTTTTTTTGCCAGTGCCATGCACATCTATTTAATTACTTCTCTCCTATAGCATTTAACAAAGCTTTGCCCTTAGGATCCCTTTTTACACAGAATGGCTGGGTATCCACCTCCATCTCTCGCACGAGGGAAGCAGGAGGCTCACAGTGGCTCTGGATGAGATATTCCAAATTCTGGAGGCTTATCTGTCAGGTGACAGGACTTAACATGCTACCTCTGTGGGGCTGCTATCAGCAGCCTCAGACACCATTCCTTCTAAAACGTGGTTAATACTCCCATCTGTTATGGGGAGCTTTCTTTGCATGCAAAACCAGCGTTTTGCCTTCACAGAACATTGGCAAACAGCTTTCAGCTGGGTTTCTTGTTGGAAGGAAGCTGCTCCTGGGTGTGTGTGTGCCTTGCCACGTAAATATTTCAGCGGCTCCTGCAAACGTATTTGTGATTATGTTCTTCCATCTGCCACAGAGAAGTTAAGGCTGCAAAAGGGTGATTTAACAAGAGTGGAAAGAGTCTGTCTTGGTTGCTTTTCTTCCAGTTTAAAAGGGTTTAAAATGTATGCACGGAGCTGTAAATTATTTAAGCCCTGTATTCCTGTTCCTGCCAGTCACCTTTGCCTTACAGTGAGCAGCAATGAGATGTTCAGCTGACCCCAAGTGGGCTGGAACAAGAAGAGCCCACTGGTATGCAGACCAGGAAAGTGGAAATGGCTGCATGGGGTGTGTACTGGCATGGGTTCCATCACAGAGGACTTCAACACTGATCAGATGCAATGACAGCCTTTCCTAGCTGGGCTAATGCCACTGGAGAGGGAATTCTGCATTGCTGAGGTTCACCACTCTGCCAGAGCACAAGGCTGGACATAACCTTGGTTATCCAGCTAAGAAACACGTACTTTTGCCTAGGGGGTGGGAAGGGAACATTCCTTATTCGAGACACTTCCCAAACTTTGTATTTTGTTGGTGAAATGGTGCCTGTGGCCAGTTTAAATGTGAACATACTCTAATGATTAAATGACAAAAAAGAAATTAAAACAGCTGTACTGTCTACGTCCAATAGCCGGCTGGATGGCAAATATCACAAATTATTTTATAGTTCAACTGGTATCAGATTAAAGACAAGCACCTGCTGGCAGGTGATGACACACACTGGAGAAATCAAAAGGTTCTGAACAAAATCTCTGTACCCAGACACCGATGCGCTGGAGACATCGCTGACATAAATCATAATTTCTCCCTGCCTTCAGACTGCCACTCATCCCAAAACCCTAGAGACCAACAGGCCAGCTACTTAATAAATTCATTTTTCACTGTGGTAATCTGAAAAACCCCACCAGCAGCTCCACAAGGAAATATTTGAACCTTCAAGTGGTGGCAGTGACTCTGGCAAAGCACCAGGCAATCCTGTGGAGGAGCAAACCAGCGCATGGACTCCAGTAAAACCGCATCCCAAGTAAAAATTGCTTCCTCTCCTAAAAATTGCCACTCCTGCTTATCCAGGGATGTACAGCCATGGAAGCAGCTGATCACAGGATTCTCCAGGTTGCTGCACAAACCTTGGGCTGTCTTCAGCTCCATCCTGCTCTGGACACAAAGACAGCACTTTGCTCATCCCGTGGCTTCCTCTTGACTTTGTGCATTTGGCAGGATTGTTTTCAGCTGCAGAGTGGAAAAGCTGCTTCACATGAATTTGTCAGGAAAAACCAAATCATGTGCACAATAACTGAAATAAGCCAGGAAAGGAAGTTCTCCCCCCCACATGAACAAACAAAACCAGTTGATTCTCCAGAAGGCACCAGATAATTAATTTCATTTCCCAGCTCTTGTTATATCAAAACAAATATATTTAGCGGAGGCTGCCTGAAGAAAGAAATTTCCACAGGGAAACTGCCCCTGTGGTCCTAATGCAGATGTGAATCAGCAGAACAACAATCCTAGGAGAAGCCTTTTTCCTTTCTTTTTTGTTCACACATGGTTAGATACCACACAAAAAGTGTCTTTCTGTTTACACCTACTTATCATAATAGAAATATCTTTGTTTAACACACACACACACACGTTATTTCCAAGACTGGAAAAGCAGCCATGAAGCTATTTAGAAAAATTATTAAACTCAGCCATTAAATGTTCATTCCTGACTGGAATCTCCTTTGCCAGAACAAATAAATCTGTGAAACAGGTTGAAATGTTTGAGGTCATTTGTGACTCTCTTCTAAATGGATTCCACTTCCATTTGAGAGCAGCAGCAAATTTTGGCTTTTGCAGCAATTTGGCTGCTCCAAGTAAAGCAGAAAATGATGAAGGATCATCCCTAATCCTTTACCACCCATCTCAGTGAAGCCCAGAGGAGCCCAGGCTGACCACATCCATTACATTTTCTTTGGAAGGAGCTTGACAGCCCGAAAAGATTCCTGACAACCACAATGCCACCGCCACCACCAGTGATTGTGTCCCCTGCCACGGCCACTCTGACAACGCTGCCGTGCCTCCTGTCACCAGGCTCACTGGGGACAGCCCTGTCCTGAGAACTGCCCACATTGCCATGGACTGCTATAAATAATTAACCTGCATTCCTCTAATCCTTTGTTGGAACCACGGCCTCTCTAACCAGGGCAATGCATCACAACTTCCAAACAAACACTTGGCAGCAGCATGCATGGGAGGGGGGTGTTTAGAGATGTTTAATGGCGTTTCTCTTACAATGAAGGTGCCATAGCACCTAGGAAAGGCATTTTTGGTGGTGGGAGAAGAGGGAGGAGGATACACTAAATACAGGAGGAAACTCTATTAAACTTCATGCAATTATCAAAAGCCACTTAAAAAAAAAATCAAATCTCTTTTGCTATTTAAAATCCCATTTAAATGTACCCGTGACAGATGTGAGCTTTAAGCTGCCTGTAATGACAATTGCAGTGCTCCAAGGAACTTACACATGATGAGATATATTTTATACACATTTTTATTGACAGTCACCCGAAAGCTTCGGCATCACTCACAGAGTTGCAGAGCAAACACGCTCAGCTACGATACTGTTTGTACTGTCTGATGCAAGAAGGGCTTGGATAACATTTGTTTAGTCAAGGACAAACAGTCCTGGGGCCTGTAGGTGGATGTGGGGAAAGACAAAGTTGGGTAACACTTCTGGCCTGCAAAGAAACAGGGTCCCTTCAGCTGAAGGGCTGTCGGGAAGAAATGCAGACAAAACCAAACTGTTCTGCAGTCCGGGTCACACTCCAAGGGCTGCCTTGTGTGCACAGAATACTTCACAAATAATCACCACAGAGTTAAGGAAATGAGTCCTGAGGTTCAAGCAGGGCTCTAACAAATACCTCTCGTTTCTCAACAGAGAAGAACAACAACAGAAGGCAGTGATAAGGGAGGCCAGGAATGCTGTTCCAGAGGGTGGGTGTCAGTCCTCAAAGTCGATTCTGATGGGGCCTCCTGTCAGGACGTGGTTAGCCATGTGAAGGGATTCCTCCTCCTGCTCCTCCTCCCGTTGCTCGGCCGACCTGCGCGCGCGTCTCCGGCAGCCCTGGGCGCAGCGCGAGGTCTCGTCCAGCGCCCCGCACACGAGGATGCGGCAGTGCAGGAACACCTCCTGAGGTGGGGACACAGCAGGAGGGTCAGTGCATGGCTCTGGAGTGCACCTCTGGACCTCTGGCCCAGCACCACAGCGTTCCTGTGGCACACAGTCCGTGTCCAGCATCGCCACCCGCAACCAGAGCGGCCGCTCCCTCTGTTTCCTTGAGTGCCCTCTCCAGAGAGCCCGGCTGAGATTTCAGAGCCAAGAGTGGGGAGACAGGGAATAGGAAGGGGTGAAATGATCCTCCAGATGAAGGGATGAAAATGGCAGGAATCAGCTTGGAAGAGCTCGTGTGGACTGGTAGGAGCTGCACCTCAAGAGCGCGCGAAGCCTCGCAAGGACTGATGGAGACGTGCAAGAGAATTTCAAGTGAGCTGGGAAAACAAAGCCAGGAAACCAAAAGGAAAAAGGAAGAAAACACAGGGTGATGAGAGGCTAAGTTGAGGGAAGAGAGAGAATGCAAGGAGACATCTGCCTCTTCTCCTTGCACAGCAAAGGCAGTGACAGGATTGCTGCTTCCCTGCCCCATAAATGACAAGGAGAGCAAGCAAGATCCCTGCAAGCAGCAGCCACGAAGACTTGGAGAGGTCTGAAGCAGAATCCATTGTGCAGGATGGGAGGATGCAGGTTGGAGGCAGCAGGGGTAATAAGAAAGCCAAGGAAAAATTTCTGAATTTTAGAAGATCTCATCTGTTTTAACCCTGCTGGGGCTCTCCAGTAGCTTTATACCTTTTGGAGCAGGCTGAGCATAGCAATGGCTGGAATATCCAATTTCCTCCAACACAGAAAGGAAAGCTATTTGCATTAGGAAAATGGCATTATCCTTCCACTGTCCTCCCACCACAGAGCTTCTGCCCCAGAGAGACAGCCTGGTTTCACATTGAATTAAGCAGTGTGGTGGCCTTCTGTCTGGAGTCCTGGCACGAGCTAAAGACACAAGGTTGAAGTGATCCCAGACTAAAAAGTGTGTTTTTTTAAAGACAGGGCACTGAGAAACGTGCCTGGCGAGTGAGAACACTTCTCTCACCCAGCAAACAAGAGCCCCCACCAAGACCACCCTGGAAGTAACAATGATGCTGTGGCATTGATGTCCCAAAACTGCCCTTCATATTTTAATTTTAGTTGTTTTTATCAATCTCTCTTGAAAGTACCCATGTCAGGGCTCCTGTAAGATGCAGCTGCTGGAACAGGCACAGCAGCACCTGCCCTGGGCCAGCTATTCCATACCCTTTTCTTACTCAGTGCTGAGGCTCCTCTGTCATATCAGAGCTGATGAAATACCTGAGATACCTGAGTTTTGAGCTTACCTTGTTGTCTTTGCCCACAAACTTGAACACAGGAACCTGGAAATGCTTGGCAAGATGGTCCTTTGACGTGTACTGCTTCACGGAATCATCAGAAACGCAGCTGAGGAGAGCAGAGGGATAGGCTTTAATGGGTTTCCCAGGAATGGAAAAAGAAAGAGAAAAGACATTCCAGCCTACTTAACCAGAGAAAGAAAAGGAGGGATTGGTTCTCTCAGGCTCAGCTACCATCTCTGCTACTTCCTCTTTGGCCACAGGAGAAAAGTTGGGAACGACGGGGAAAACCAGCGGCATTGCTAATAGCATCTGCAGACGAGGAACAGCTCAGCACAGCAGAGGGCTGGCAGGACGTGGCCCAGTCCCCTCAGAGAGGGGCTGCCAGCGAGCTGCAGGCAAGTCTGTCCTCATTTCACCTTCCTGTGCAACAGCCTGCAGTGTTACACACACCAGAACGTGGTATGCACTTACTGTATACACATAGATATGCACATAAATTATGCTTAAAATGAAGCAGCCTGCACCCACGTTTCTAAAATATGACAGATGATGAAAAACAACAAAAATCCAGATTTACTTAGCTTTATAGCATTTACATTTTTCTTCCCGCTGGATTTGGTCAAACTGCTCAAATTCACTACACCAAGAGTTTATAATTTCAGTTTTTCCATCACTAGCAATGCATGTTTGTGTGAGAGGTCGCAGAACTGCAAGAAAATAAGCGGCTTTTATAACAAGTTACATTCCAGGTGCAGTGCATTTATAAACTATTACAGCCTATTTAGAGTCTGACAGACAAAAAGTAATGGTGGCTCAATAATTACTGCTGATTATTGCAAAGCCTTGGGGCATCTTGAGAGGCCTTGATAATGCTGTGAAATTGTATTGCAATGCAGCTCATCCTTTCTAGCAAGTTAATTCCAAAAGTGTGGACTTTGAAAGGTATTTAAAAAAAAACAACAAAACAACAAAGCAGTGGTGGAAGAGACAAGAGGTACAGGTGCAGCTCAAAGTCTTGCTCTTGCAGCAAGCTTCAGCTCCCATCTTTGGATGAGAAATGTGCATGGCATTGCCAGAAATGCTGATGTTTGACGCTTTCAGTTGTTAAAGAGCAGTTCTGCCTTCACTGGAACGTTTGGGAATCTCTATGTTGTTAAAATTCCTTTTTAAACAAGGCCTCTGATCGTAAGGAATGACAGTTAAAGACTTTTCATAGGTGAGTGGCCAAGCTCCAGTGTCGTGAAGTCAGCTCACAGGCATGTTCTCATTTGTGAGCATAAAAACTGTGATGATTATTGGACACTGGCTCAAACTGACTCCTAAATCCCAGTTTCTCCAAAGGTTCTGCACACTGGTGGAAGGAAACCTACTGATCTGGGGCTAGGGAGAGGGAAAGTGGAAGAACACCACAAAGGAATCAGAGATACATAGACAAAAACCAGCTCAGAAACCTCACGAGTCACAAGAGCAAGTCCTTTTGCATTTGTGGGGCCAGACCATATCCCACTCTCCTAGGAAACCCCCATAAACCCTGCTGCCCACTTTGAAGAGGTGAGAAGAGAAAGGTATGGAAGGAAAAGGAGAGCCTGGTCAGGATATGGGGAAAATCACCTGTGCATAATGCACTTAGGTTTGGGGAGCAGAGTGGCAGTGCTGCAGCAGCTGTGCTCTGACCCTCTTATTCAGGGTTGCAAGGTTAAAAGGAAGGCTTGCACGATGAAATATCCACCTCAGCCTAACAAATGGGGCAGCCTGAGGCACAGCAAGACGAGCTTTGCAATGGAACTACCTTAAGCACCTTGTGCTCTGCTGAATCACAGCTCCTGACCTCACCGGTGACATGACCTTGCTCCAGATGCCCCAGAGAGCTTCAGCGTTTATCACCTGTGCCATCGGTCAATGCCTTTGTTTCATTTTGTTTTCAGAAGGCAGGGAATTAATAGAGAAGAGAGCAGCAGAGGGAATTTTCCCATTCCTCAGTACAAGGTATATCCTCTCCAACTTAAACAGCATTTCCCTTTGGAATATGAACTCTTGCAGGTCTGATCCTACATAAACTGATACAAAAATGCCATCTTCATTGCCATGGGCTTTTGAGGCTGGATTTCTAGAAGGAAACTGAGTTATTAGAGAAGTGTTTGGAACAGGGACAACTTAGCAGTGCATTCAGCTAATTTAATTTTGAATCACTGGGAACACTGGGGCCTGGAGTGATGACTGCAGAGTGGAGCACTTTTCCCTTCAGTGAAGTTTTAATGCCCTCTGCAGGTACCAAGGGACTGCTGGTGCCATAAATTCTTCAACCAGTGCTGGGGTGAACTCAAGAGATGACATTTCCTGCCTTCTCCCTTCTCTATCCAGCTCAGGTTTTGGCTGCTGTTTTAAATCTCATCATTTTCACTCATGGGAAGAGATGAAAGAATGAAGGGTCCATGGGAACAGCCAAGCCAGGGAGTTCATAAAATCAATTTTTCCATTACAGACCTGGTCATAAAGCCCAGAAATGTTGGGCACAGAAGGACTGCAGCCTAGGATGGAGGCAGAGCAGGCTGAATCCTCTCAGAAGGAAATGAAAACAGTATTTTGGGGTACTTTACATTGAAGCACCTTTTTTCTACAAGAGAACCACACAGGACTTGCCATCAGCAGCTGGAACAGTGGGTGATTTAGTCTGGCAGCTGAGGACATGATTGTTGTCATCATTAAATGGTCTGGCAGGCAACATGCAGGACTTACACAAGCACAGTCCCTTGACTATCAGGCTACAGCTTTTGGGTATGTCTTAGATACTCTTTGGCTGGATTTCCCTCCCTGGAGGACAGCAGACTGCCTCACAACAATGACACTTCCTCAGAGCTGCCTGGTTTAGCAGCTGGATGCAAACACTCCACAGCAATGCTGTAGCATTGGCACGGTCATTTCAGCACGCAAAGAAGTGTCTGAAAAGAGGGATCATCTCAGGAGCCACAGCTGAGCCCACAGCAAGGCTCCCCAAACCTCTGATGCAAAAACCACCGCAACAGTGAACCCACAGATCTGCACAAAATTATTTTTAGCATATCCTGGAACAATCACTAACCCCAAACACCTCAAAAGATTACAGCCAAACTGAAAGACCCTATATTTACTGCACTGACAGGCATCAGGGGAGAGCAAAGCAAGGGATTCTCCTGCAGCTCGTACCAGCAATGAGCTCTTCTGGCTCGTGCTGTAGTAAGGCCATTATGAGAAAATTAAGAAACTTGCTCCAGTTGCTGCAGCAGCTGCCTGGCAGCGGCACACGGCCAGGGTTCTGCCCATTGGCTTGGCACCCTGTGGCTGGCAGAGAGAGGATATCAGGAGAGAGAATCTTTTCTACAGGAGCCAACTCAATTATCCACAGTGCTAGCGACAGGGAAACACATCCTGTAAAAGCTGTACTCGGAGGAGCCTCTTTCACTGCCTCCCACTGTTTCTCCCAATTACTTTTGATGGGACAGGTGGTTCCAGCTTGATGGCTGCTGGTGATTGCTACCAGCACGGCAGACAGGCTGCTGTGGAGAAGGGATAGTGTTTCCTGCATCACACAGACAACTCAGCCCCACTGCCAATTCCCATTAAATTGCCAGCAAGGCAAGGGACAGTGAACTCACCCATCCTGAATCAGGTAGTACTTCAGGATCTCATCAATTTTTGAGGTGGGAGTGGCGAAGCAGCTCTCCACCAGCGTCTCCAGTCCACTGACGTGCACCAAGGGCTCAATCCCAAAGTACAGCGAGTCCCGAAGCTTGAGGGTGGGAAGAGCACCCCTGTAGGGCTCATCAAAGTCTTTGTCCTTGAAGATCTCCAGAGTGAAGGGGAAGATGCCCTGGTTGCGGCTCATGATTTCCAAGGGAGAGTTCTTGAGGTTGGGCACGTAGCCCTCGGAGATGGTGTAGCGGCGCGGGAACTCGCAGGTCACCGGGATCAGCAGCTTGCTGGTGCGGACAATGATGTCCCCATTGCTCCCCGGGGTCTGCTTGGGCAAGCCAGTCACCAGGTTGGTGGCAATGATTTTATCATTTATTACCTGCAGCAAAGAAAGGGGAGATCACTGAGAGAGGCCTCGGGGCTGGCGCTCGGGGCAGTTTACACCCCACATCCAGAACGGTGCTGCTCATCCTCACACACCAACTAAGGACCTCGGTCTCTGCTGCCAAGTGCGATGCACCACACTTCTGCTACACCCCTCTGCTAAGGTGAGCCCTCGGGGTCCTGACCAGGTGCCAGTTTAAGCCTTGAAACGTTATCAGGAGACCAGAATGTGTCTCAGCAGGAGGATGAGGAGTGAGGGCACTTGTACCTTCTAGCCTTGTGAAGCAGGAGGCGAGCAGAAAGCAGCACCCATGCTCACAGACACACACTGCTGGAGGGAACGAGCTCTCTGCCTTTGGAATGCCAGCCCAGGTCTACTCTGAGGGCAGCTGCATGGCAGCACAGGAAACAGCTCTGAGGGTACAGCTAAACCATTTATTTAACCTTTATTCCCCAAGTAAGCCACAGCCAAATCCCCAGATCCCAGAGACTGGGCAGAAGGTCATACATACATCTACAACAGTACCACAGGACTTCAGGGAGAAATGGATGTTGACATGAGTGCCATTGGACACGCCTTTGCACGAAGTGTTGATGAGGGAAAGGTCCAGGCCTCCAACCAGGTCCTTTGGGATGTTCACCTCAATAGAGCTGGACTTGCACAGCACTGGAACTGCAAGAGAAATCCCCAGAAAAAGTCTGTGCTACAAACCCACCAGTGGGCTGGGGAAGGGCTACACCAGTTATAAATGGGGGAAAAAAAGGGGAATCACAGATGGCATTTATAATTATGATCCTACCACAGTAACCTAACTACCCATCTTGCAGTCCCACCTAACACAACACAAGCCAGAGCTGCCACTGCCCCAAATTTTCCAGCCACAGCAATGCCTCAGAAAACAATGAAGAGAGAAACTTAGCTGTGCTTCCCAGCTTCACTTAATATTCAGCACAGATTTGGTTGATATCCCTTGCACTGCGATGTCCTGGCAAGAGCCTTTGCCAGATATGGGTATCAAATTCACAACACCCCAGGCAAAGCCATATTTTAAGAGCCTTAATCAGATTTTACATCAAACCCAGAACACGTTGAAAAAAGGCAGAGTAATTCCATATAGATACCAGGCTAAAATGGAAGCACCTCAAAATGCCATAAAAATATTTTTATAAGCAATAAACCTAGCTCTGACAAGCAAACCCAATTAGCTCACTCATTCCAACCTTTAAATTTTAATAGAGGCCTCCGTGTGAATTTCTTTAAATTAAAATTTCATTATGTAAGAAGCAGGAGAAAACAGAGTTTGGACAAAATAAAAAGGAAGGAAGAGAGAATAATCTTCAATAAAAAAAGTGGTTGCTGTACATATACTCCTTGGGATTATGCAGTTCAGTTAGAGACAGGACAAACATACTGGTGGCATATATTGTGGCTTCAGCCAGAAAAACAAACCTTTTGCAGGATTTACATTAATTATATTTTAAAATCCCACAACAAAACTTTTTTGCAAATATTCTGGTTTCCTGAGATTTCTGCCAAAATTAATTGTAGTCCTGGTCCTTAACATTCCTATGACCTGCCTTCCCTTAATTTCAATCATGAATTATATAATTTAGGATTCTGGATATTTTATATATAAGGCACACTGCTAAAATAGGCATTTCACCCTCCTTAAAAAATTTCCCTGTCCCAGCTCAGGTATTTGCAACAGCCTCTGAGTACCTTCAGGAAGGAGTTTTGATTAAAAGTTGATAATTTCAAAGTGATGTGTTAAAACGTATTCAGAGTGCCCAAAGCAATATGTTCCCACAATGACACTGCAGGGTTAGAACAGAGGCTTAAAGAACTAAAAATTACCTTAACCTTCCTTCCACTGGCAGCAGAAGACAAGTGGGAATAACTGAGCATGTCAAATGGCACAGCTCAGGAGCAGACAAAGGGGCTTGGAAAGACAGCATAATGCAGACAGAGAGGAACATCCTTTGGAGAAATGATTGGCCCCATCTGGATTTAAAGGCTCGCTGTTCTAGCGCTCCTTGATAAATAAAAAAATGTACTGCTTTCGTAAAGGTGACATTCAGGGCAAGAGATTTGGATCTCAGCTGCAGTTCTCTGAAGTTCAGGACTGATTTGGTTCAGGATCTCTCTGTTTCTACATGTCTTTGACTGGCACAAAGTGGGAGAAAGAGAACATTCCATTTTCCCTGTGCTCCAGAGCTGCAGGAGCTGTGTGCCCTCCACCACCTGGACACAGAAACAAGTGAAGGAAACCTCCTGACTCAAGCCAACTCGTGGCTTTTTGAGAAAACACCCAGCTTGTGCCAGTCAAACATTTTAGTTCTTCACCCTCATACTTCCCAGAGCACCTGTGAGAACTGGGAAAGCCTCCTCATTTCCACTTTAAATTCTGTTTTGCACCAAAGCCTCTGAGCACCTGACTCTGGGATGAAGCTTCTGTGGCGAGTCCAACACTCATTTCTCTGCCTGCTGCTGTTACTGCTACCATATTCCAGCCTCTGGCTCCTTCCTTGGCCTTTCAAAGAGCTGCACAAAAATTTGGGGAAGAGCGTTTCACCCCTACTCTTCAGGAAGACGTGGGGTACTAGGATGGACTGCAAAATTCTAGGATGGTCTGAAAGATTCCAAGTATTTTGCTGGCTGGTATCTTTATGGAAAAATTGCAGCCTGTAGACTGTGATTTCTGTGGAAGATTATTAATGTTTGTTCTGAACCTGGAGACAGTGCAGAGGAGGGTAGAGAGGCTGCAGATCCAATTGCTTCAGGCTACTGTGCCTGCCCTGCACTGTTAATTGAACCAATATAAACCTGATTAGGTGTCATAAAAAATTGTGTGGTACAGTTCCATTTCTGCTCAGAATTGCAGGCCACAGCATGGGGAGATAAATCCATGAATGCAAAAGAACAGGCAATTTCACTTCATGAGATGCTGGATCCTGAACCCCAGCCTGGCTCCCAGCAGTGCTGCTGCTCTCATTAGCAGCCCCACAAGCAGCAGAAACTCTGGCTGGGAAATCCAAAACTTCCAGCCCTGCTGGGGTTGCCTCAGGGGTCCAGGACTGAAAAACATCGCTCTGTTCTTGCCTGTATCCATCAATCAGACCTCCAATCAGTGAGTGTGATCACAGCTCTTGGAAATCCCCACCTCCGCCTCCCCACCAGCACTGCTGGATCCCAAGTGGGCAATGCTCACCCTTGGGAGCCCTGCATTTCTAAAAAGCTTAAAAAGCAGAAATTCCATCAAGTGGAACCATTCCAGCTTCCTCTCTGAGGCATACCTGTGCTTTTGGCCACCATGAGGCCTGAATCTGTCCCTCCAGCTGATGTCTGGGCACTCTGTGGCACATCAGACTGCAGGAGGTTTTCTGAGCACAACAGGCAATGCCAGACTGCTGGCAGCCTGGATGGATTTGCAAAAGAGATCTTTGCAAAAAAAATAGGGAGCTTGTTTATTCCATGTGCATGCCATAGGCACAAGTGACTCAGCATGAAGGATTCCCTGTGGAAAGTTCAGATGGAAGGTTCTCCAAGGATAACGCTGCCCTGGCCTCTACACAGCAGAGGCAACAGTCAATTTTTAGATGCTATCCCGGGCACTTTGCCAAGGGGAAGCAGGAGCACCTAATATCAAAACTAGTGCCCTGCTTCAAGGCATAGGAATGCTTACTGGAATGGTATACTTGGAAAAAAAACATGCATCTGTATTTAACCCTGTTCTTGGAAGGGACTGGACTGCTTTAGCTGAGATTTTGAAGCATGGAAAAATGTCAGTTCTAACAGCATAAATTTGTCAGAGGTGTGCAGGGAGCAGTATAATGGGAGATGTTAAGCAGTATTAATCGTAAGGGAACACTAACCCTACAATTAACGTGATGAAAGACGAGCTCAAGCTGTTCTCAGGCCTGGAGAGAAGAGCAACAACCTCAAGCTCTCACTTTTGGATGGTCTGTCATTAGTAACACAGCTCCATTAACCCACCTGGACAGGACAGACTAAGAGAAGACAGCAGAAACAAGATGCAAAGTTCCTTCAGACATTCTCTCGGGGGACAGAGGCTGCTGGGGAGATTTTGTTGTCCTACCTTGGCAAGTGTGGTTGTCTTCTGACAGAACAAGTCCTCTGGGACATTCACACTGGTAGGTGTCTTCCACTTCAATGCAGGTGTGGCTGCAGCCTCCGTTGTTATTGTGACAGCCTTCAATTTCTGGGGAAGAAAGGAAAACCAGCGCGTCCTGCGGGCCCCAACAGACCCCTGACCAGCCAGCAGCCTGAGCAATACAGCTCAAAGGCAACAGTTTGGCTCCCAAAAAATGAGGTGGAGACCCCTTTTTTAATTATACACCTTTACTCATGCAGAGCACCATGATTTTTTTCTTTCAAATGACCTTAACTGCTTGATTTGTTTTAAACATTTTTTAACCATTTGGGATATGGTAGGTGAGTGCTACTGTTCTCAGTAAAGTAACATAAATAAATAAAATAATATATAAATAAATAGTAAATAAAATAGATAATAAATTAAAAATAATTAAAAAATAAAATAATGTAAAAATAATAAAATAAATAAAATAGCCTAAGATAAGCAAATCATAAATATGAAATATTTCTCCCTGAGCCTGCCATCAGAAATCACTGCGTGTTTTTTCACTGAAATGTAAAGAAAAGAATGGAAATCCCACACTCAAATCCTATACAATGCATGGAAAATAACAACTCAAACACCCCACACGAGTCAAAGCAACGAGTAAAGCATCATAATGCAAATTTTAAGATACTTAAAACTCTATTCAGTGTCACCAGCTCACGTAATCAAGCTAAATCTATTGCATTTGTTCTTTATAGCAACAAGCTGTGAGGTGGCCCACACCTCACATCCCATTCTCTACCAGCTCACAAAGCTGAGGGCACATCTTCAGAAATAAAACTCACTAACAAGATTGTAAAAATCCCCAGCAGCAGTGCTAAACTCGTGAAAGGCACCATCCTTCTTACAGAAGGGAAATTAAATGATATATCAAAGGCCCTAAAAGCCAGCCTGGGGAATGGCAGAAACAAACGAGTTTCCAAACAGACTATTCCAGCCCTGTCAGAAGAGTGCAGCACTCGGGAATAAAAATTGCACAGCTCATTTATGTGATGCCCAAGCAGCTCAGAACTGGATGTGGCAGGGACAAAGCCCACAGACAATTTTTGGCCCCACACAACTTGACAAGTACTTAAGGAGCGCTCTGCACAGCAGCATTTCCCAGGAAAGTGTCACTGCCAGGATGAGTGATGTACCAGCAGAGCTCAGAGAGCAGATTTAGCTCTTTTGGGCAGCTGGAAAGTGAGGCACATCTGCAGTTGTTTTTCTTGTCTGAGGCCCCACAGTGTCTGTGAACAGCTTTGCTGTGAGGGGGCACAGTGCTTTTCCACAGCTCACCACAGAAAACATCAGGCACACATCATTTTTTGCTGGGTTTGCCTGTTTCTGCTCAGGGATTGTTTGTACATTGTTAGTGACAACGCATCAGGCCCACAATTTGCACTTTAAGCCACCAGTCTAAATTTATCAAGGGTTTTCAACCTGGCTGTGCCACCACTGTGAAGGAACTGTGGCAGCTGCATGGAGCAGCAGAGCCCACAGACACCAAAGAGCAAAATGCTGCCCTAATCCCAAATTTAACTGGCAGCCCCTCTCCTCAATCTCCATCCTGGGAGGCTAAAGCGATCCTCCTACTCCAGTCTAATGCCATGACATTACCCCATGCCTGATGTGAGCTGCCAAAGCCCAGCGCTGCTAAATCTGCCCCCACAAAAACACACAAATCTCCAGAGCCAAATCCCAACAACTCCAGCAACGAGTTCTGCCAATCTTCCACATCTGCCTTTCCCCCACGGAGATAAATACAAGCAAATCCTAACAGAATCCTAACAGAAATGGACAAGGCAGGGACAACAACAAGGAGATTTCTCTCTGCTTGCTTAGAAGGATATTTTAGTATCAACCACTCTGGCAAGCACAGAGGTGATATCAATGACATTTAATCCCAGGTGCAAGGAGCCAAGAGAGAGCCAGTGCTGCAAAGGAATGATTTATACAGTTTCCAGCAGCCTGGGGTAGCTGAAGCCTCACCTTCACAGGTTTTCCCATCACTTCCCAGCGTGCGCCCAACGCCGCACTCGCAGCGGAAGGAATTCTTCAGGTTAACACAGAACTCACTGCAGCCTCCGTTGTTCTGCTCACACTCATTTTCATCTGAAAAAAAAACAAGCTCTGGAATGTAATAGACAATCCCACTAAAAGCAGTAACACTGACAGGAGCTTTTGAATCTCTTGGTAAAGCTCTGAAAAGTCTTCCTAACTTTTTTGAAGGCTGAAGTTGCTCTGTGTTTGTCTGCCCTTCTATTTTTTTTTTTTTGTTTTGAAAGATACTTTGTTCTCTGAGATTTTAATTCCTCAACCTGATTTAATCTCTGTGTGCAAAAAGCAAATCAGAGAGGAAGGGACAGACATTGCTCTTGCTGAGCCACAAAACGAATGATTTCTCTTAGGCAGGCCAGGAGGCTGAAGTTATCAATCAAGGTTCACATGGGGTTTCATCAGAACATTAGAAGTTGGCATTTATGAGGTGTCAGAAGCTTCAAACCAAGAAAAAAGAAAAGTCCCATTTTAAACAGACCAGTCAGAGATGAGCTCTCTCAGGTACCAGTGGTCCCACACAGGCACAGTACCCACAGCTGGCAGCTGGTGGTGGTGTCTCCTTCCACAAGCAATGTGAATTGAGTATTTTTAGCCAAAGACTTGGCTGGTGCCCTGCTTTGGGAGGCAGGAAGAATGTCCAGGAGACACACACACACTGCTTTTCACACATGTGACAAGGCTCCACACTTTCCCTTCTAAAAATAAAACTAAAGCTGCTTAAAAACAGAAGGTGAAGAGGGAAAAGGCTACTGGCAAAGGCATGGAGATGTTGTTAGAAGGGCCTGGAGATTGTCTTGATCGAGGGCTGGGCCCAGAAATTCCCCTGACTGCTCCTTCCAAGTTTTGCAGCACACACAGATCTCTGTGCCTGCTCCTCCCCACCGGTGACAAGCAGCACTTCTGGGATGCAGGCTGGTTGTCTTGAGGCTGGACTGGGACAGTGCTGAGCTGATTTTAACCATGGCTTAGTAGAACATGGATCCAGGCACTGAAGAAGTCAAAGGCAATGCACCGAGCTGGTGAAGGTGTAACAGGAAGTCTGCAACCTTATTTAACCCCTAAATGAAAACGTAACTCAGGATCAGCCATTCTGCTCTGGGATTTAAAGCAGGTAATGTGCCAAGGAGAAGCACAGGGAGGTGCACAGAGCTGCTCACCCTTCACAGAATGGTCTGGGTTGGAAGGGACCTCAAAGCTCATCTTGTTCCATCCCCTGCCACTATCCCAGATTGCTCCAAGCCCCGTCCAACCTGGCCGTGGGACCCTTCCAGGGATAGGGCATCCACAGCTGCTCTGCTGCATTACTGCAGCAGCTTCAGTCTCCCTTCTTTGGGGGAGCTGGGAAAGGAAGCACATTCTCTGTTTAGGAAAGACAGATGGGGATTTATTTGGTTTCTCCATAAGGAGGGCACAGTTGCTCTCAGAGATGTGACTGCACAATTACTCAGCACAACAGAAAGTTATTAGAAAGATCACAGAGCCACACAAGAGAGGCTGCAGGCAGGTGAACCAGTGTGATCATTCCAGCTGAGGTGCTGTGCCATCTGGGAATCAAGAAGAGAAGCAGCAGTGCAGAAATCCTGCTCCTGGGGGGATGAAAGCAGCTGCAGCACACACAGACAGGCTCAGGACTCCTGTGTACCTCCCTGCTGCAGGAAATCCTTTCCTCTGAGCCTGCCACACATTCACTGAGTGCTCGTGCTTGTCAAGGGCACTTCTGTGACTGGAAGGCTTGCACAGAAGCAGCCAATAAATGCTTTTAATTATCTGAGAGAGCTCAGTCAGCCACTTGGCTGCAGACAAGTGGAGCTGCTTAAGCAAAAGCTCTTCCCAGAATCCCTGTGAGCAAGTGTAACTCTGCAGCAGGACCAGGCTGCTCCTTCCACACACTGGAATGACTGTGGGCCCTGCCCTGATGCTCACAGACACGATATATGTGAAGAAAGAAACCATCCACACCTGCTTTGTCAGGTGCAGCCCCTTTGGAAGAGACTGACCTGCCACACAGCCTCCTGGACCAACTCTGCTTTCAGCTTCACCACCAAATCAAGTGGCAGATGAGATTCCTCCTCCCCCAAACACCCTTTCCTCCCCCACCCCTTCCTATCCATCGGTGTGGCTCTGCAGCTCTCCAACAGCCCCTTGATTTGTCCCATCATCTTCCTGACCTCTCAGTCCAGGTGCTGTCCCCCAGCATCACACACACAACCACAGCCACTCTCTCCCCAGAGCTTCATGGGGATTCCCCCACAAATCTCCAAAGCCCACGTTCCCTACTCTGCTCTCACCTCCCTCCTGGCCATGCTGGTCTCTGCCACCAAGTGCCAGCTCCCTGAATACCCCCTTGTCATGCTCTCTAAAACCACTGCAGCACTGAACTTACAGTTCTTTGGGTCTCCTCAAGCCCCAGGCTATGGACAATGTCCCAAAAGGGCAGGAAGTATGGTGGAGTTTAGTGTTCAGCCCTGCAGCAGCCAGCAAAACTTTTTTTGGAGGAGAGATACTCAACAGAGCTTGTGAGAGGAAATCTCTAACGCCAGACTGCACAGCACTTCCTGAGTATGATCACAGTGATACCACACAACCCTGCACCATGATCACAGTGATACCACACAACCCTGCACCATGATCACAGTGATACCACACAACCCTGCACCATGATCACAGTGATACCACACAACCCTGCACCATGATCTTCCAAAGAGACTCTGCTACTGCCTTCAGCAGCTGAACCATGCAGAAAGCAAATCCAGCCTCACAAACACGGAGCTCCAGGGGCACCAGAATGGATGCAGTCCTGGGATGTAATATCTTGGAACCGTTTACAGGATCATAGTCCTGGTTCTAGGCAGCAAAGGGGAAAACTCCTCTCAGGAGATGTCATTTTTTACAGTGCTTTGTAAGGCAAGATGTGAGCCATGAAACAAAGGGAAGAGAAGCACCAGGAACTGGGACAGCTCATCTCCACCCTTACCAAGGCACGTCTGGCCATCAGGTCCCAGCGTCGTACCCGGGGAACACGTGCAGTCACCGGTGTCCAGGCAGGAGCCCTGGCAGTCCACCACATCACAGATGTCATAAAAATCTAGGGCATGACAAGAACAATGTCAGCACAAAGCACCGAGCATGCAAGGAAAGTACAGGATTTGTCCCCCCAGCTTCCCCCTCCGCGTGCAGCCCCTCAGTTACAGACCCGACCCACGCTGGCAAAGCTGACCTGCTGAGAAACAACCAGAACCAATTACTGCGAGTCAGAGATGCAAATTTTGACTCTGGTAGCGCGCCAAGACAAACCACAGGGCCCACAGGAAGCGTTAAATCACCGAGGCCAGGTCAGCTGTGGAAAAATCCCGCTAGCCGAACAAAGCGGGCGAAACCGCCTCGCCGATCCTACACGGCCTACAGGAGATCCTACAGGCGGCCACCTGGAGAAGCCTCAAGGGCCGAGGAGGGGTCAGAGAGGCGACTTACGCCCGCAGTAGGCGTGGAAGCAGACGCTGGGCTTGGTGAGGTGGTACACGTAGTAGCCTCCCGGGCAGGCCTTGACCTCGATGCTGGTGTTCCAGAGGCAGCAGTTGCCGCTGAAGCTGGCGCAGGCCTGGCGCCGGACGACGCCGTCGGCCTGGCGCGGGTGGCTGCCGTTCATCCAGATGGGAGCGTGGGTGCCGCAGTGGTTCTCGGGGATGCAGAAGGTGGGCATGGCGTCGCCGGCCATGCCCGTGAAGCGGTACCACTCGCCGTCGATGCCGCTGTCGCACGTGGGCTGCCCGTGGGAGCCGTTGATCCGGTGGTCCGTGTTCCGCCAGGGCTCGTTCAGGCTGATGTAGGCGGAGCAGGGGTCCAGGGCTGGGACACGCAGAGAGAGAAGCTTGTAGATATCAAACCAAGTTGTTGGTGGGTAATTACAAAAGCAGTTTTGGGGTGGTTTATTTTCCCCTCTGTCCCTGACTTAACAGAACCATTGTGACAGAGACTGATCCCTGGGCAGAAAAGGTGATGCCAGCAAACTCATCGCCTTGTGGAAAATTCTGACAGCTTGTCTTAAAGGTCTTGGAAGAACAGGTAAACTAACGAGGCTCTGACAACATTATGCAACAGTCTGACCTGCTGTTTAGCTGACGGGGGGAAAAATCAAGGTACAAGAAAATCTGAGGTCCAGGTAATGATTTTGCCATAGGAAATATGCCCTGGGATCTAGCCTAGGACAACGATCCTTTGGTCAAGTGACTTTGATTGGTCACTTTGGTTAGCGACCAATCCTTTGGTCAACCAACTGAGCCCCTGCAAGCCTCTCCTCAAGTCACTGGTAACTCTCCCAGCTGCCTTGGAACAACTCAAACAGATTATGCAGCCTCTTTTAAAACCCATCAGTGTCAGCCCTCACAGCTGAGCTGCCAAACCTTTTTATTCATTATCTTAAAATCCACAGGACGTGAAGGACTGAATTGGGACCTTCTGGGGAGCAGCACATTAAACCCCTTACACTGCTGTGTTCCTTGCAAGCCCACAAACCCTCCTGATCTGCACAGGAGATCAGCTGTTTGTGAGCAAAGTGAGTGTTTGTGGGGGCAAGACACAAACACACGGACTTCCTGGCAAGTGCACAAGGAGTGTGTCCCTTTTCAGAGGACTTTCTGAACCTCCTGCAAATGATTAAAATACGAGAGTACCACAGGGAGAACATAAATGAAGAATTTAAGTGTTCATTAAATTTTCAGTCTCCTCCTAATTAACCCTCATTTGGCAGCTTCCTCACTGGAAGTCCAGAGGTTCCATTTTGCCTTACATTTAATACCTGATTAAGCACAACTTATCCACGACAAGCAATTCCCTATTAAGCAAAAGGAATGCTAATATTACCCTGAGTAAGGAAAATTGATTACCATTTCCTAAAATTAGGCTAATAAAACCAATCACTCTGACAAAATGCATCTTGGACTGGAACAGCCTCAACTTTCCACATTTCCACATTTCTTTTGAAGTCCTAAAGTTGTGCTGTTTTGTTTCGACAATAGTGTGATGGAGCTTGGGTGAGGGAGGAATACTGTGCTCTATTAGAAATACAAATGACCCTGGTTCATTATTTTTATTTGTTTTGCTGACTTTAAAATGGAAGCTACAAGTGCTTCAGAGAACAGACTTCAAGTCTCTCTTATTTAGCTGTGTCCTCTGTAAATATCTGTCCCAAAGATGTGCTACCTCATAGAAACATCTCACAAATACAACATTTTTCATGCCTCCCTCAGCCACAGACACATTTTGCTCGGTCTCAAATCCAGCATAGAAGGCAGGAGCAGCTGCCAGAGTCAGGAGTGCTGCAGAGCTGGCACAGGGAGCGTGGATCTGGGTTATGAAGGAATCTCTAGTGCCACGATACAAAGATATGCAGAGGAGCTGATTCACTGCCACCACAACCAGCCTCGTTCTCCTGAGCAGCAGAGAGGGGAATGCAGCAGGAAAATCTCTGATGGGAATCACCAGGTATCCCCTCCTGAGCTCTCCTTTTCACCTGCCTCTGCTCGCCTGCCCTTACCCACAGAGAGCAGCAGCGCTGTAAATCCCACCCTCCAAAAGCTGGTTTGACTTCTCCCAAAAGGAAAAGACAGGACCTCAACAGAGCTTCCTCCGGGCTTCCCTCCGTGCAATTCCCTTGGCTTCCACAAGAGGATTTGCTGTGGCCTTAGGGTGAGTCACTGACTGAGATGAAAAGGTTTTCGTGTTGTTAAAAGCCAAATGAGGTGAAGCGGGAGTGCCCTGTCAGCTCCCCAGCTGGGCAGCACTAAAAATACCAACACTCTCATTAGCTTTCATGTAATTATGAAATATCCTTTGTAGACAGACTCTGGGAACGCTCGTCTAGGGAGATTATATTGTCTCCTAAACATCCAGGAGATAATTTATAGACAAAATTTAGTGAGATGAACACGCAGCAGCTCAGAGGGAGCTGGAAGAAGGCACATCAGGGGAATTGAGGTAGCATTCCCTCACATCTTTCATTCCCCTGAGAGCTTCTGGCAGGAGTGAGGGGGAAACAAACAAGCAGAAGAAGCAGACAGCGCTCTTTGGAACACTGCAGATCCTCATGGCCACCTATGGACCACCAGTCCTGCCCCAAACCAGCCTCCCTGCAGACATCAAGCAGTCACTGGCAGCACAGTTTTTTCATTTTAATTAATTAAATTGAATTTTTAAGGAAAAAAAAATAATCCACAAAAATAGAGAAGCGACTGATCAGCCTCCTCTCACCTCTTCTCCCCAAACAACAAGCTTGGGGGTTGGCACAAGATGAATAACTCTCTCCAGCTCACTATCTTTCATTTTTCTTGGCTCAATTCTTCTCCTCCTCAATGCTTCTTGCATGGCCTGAGCAATTTGGGCTGACAAGTATTAGCCACGAAGCAAAGCTGTTCCATTTGTAAGCTTGATGCTATCGTTAGTTCTCTGGCTGACATGGTAGCAGTGTCTGGGTGACAAATCAGGCTCCAGCCAGCACTGGTGAGTGCCCCATCCTGCAGAGATTAATCCTGGGTGCATTGTGTAACTGGAGGTCTCTGCTCCAGCAGTAATAAAGGGAGCAGCACTGCATTATGGCACTAAATTTCGTTCAGATTTGTCAAGGAAGCAGGGGAAAAGGTGGCATAATGTCTACTCATAGAGTCTGTCCTACAAAGGGAGAGGAAAATCCCACAGTGCCTTGGCAATAGAGATTCTCACAGTATGGGGGACTTCACACTCTGTAAAAGAGGGATCTTTCCAACTGGAAGGAATTCCACATCACCTTCAAAGAAAAAGGATATTTCTCCCACCTTCCAGCCTTTCACCTAAGAATACCAAGGCTCATAGTGAACCTTAGAGATGGCAAACAGAAATAAGGCAATGCCTCTTTACTCACCCATCGAAGACACCGGCTGGAGCTGAACGACAAAGTAAATACAGAAAAACAAGTACTGGAACATCCCACTGAGCCAAGGAAGAGCCACCACTCAATGTACAGAGGCTTGAAAGTCCTTGTACAGACTGTGGCTCTTGCAGCCTTCCTCTCAGCGGAGCTTCTGACTCAAGAGCAAGTGTGATTGCTCTCCTGGAAGTTTATGAGAGGAAGAAGCCGAAGGGACGTGGGGTACAGCTCCAGCCTTGACCTCCCCAGAGCAGCTCTGCCCCTTACTGACAGCAGGGTCATACTTACTGATCAATCTTGTTTTTTGGACTTGAGCTGCTATTGTTTTCTGCCCTGAGTGCCCCACAGTGACACCTCCACTATCTTATCCAGAGAAGAATTCTAACCGGGGACACGCGGACATCCCGAAGGGCTGGAAAAGAAGAACAGATGGGTGCTTGTTATCTGTGCTCCTTCCACAAGTCGCACTCCACGGCTCCCTCCAGGCAGAAAACACTGGCTAAGGAGCCTTAACTGCAGGAAATAATGGCCAAAGGAGCAGCACTGATCCTTCCGAGCACAGATTGCAGAGGAGTGCTGGGAGCAGAGCTACAATGGGAGCATCAGTCAAACTGAAAGCCTGGTGTCCCACAGGGAAATGAGCTGTTCCTAGGCTACACAGAGGCCCTTGCCACAACCTGAGCACTGCAGCGAGATTATCAAACAAGGCAAGTAAAGACACTTTGCTGCAGCGCTCTTACAATCTCTTGTCTTGAAAAAACAAACCAATCCCAACGTTATGGAATTAATTCTGATGCAAAACCGAGTAACTGAGAACCTTTTCCTGACTAGTTCAAACCAAACTGGGCTGAGCTGCAGGTGACAGCCACAAGCTCTAGATGCAGCACACTGAAATGTGTTCTTTACTACAGCAAACCCAGAAAGGGTTCTTCCCTCTCACCCCTGTAAGAGCTCTCCACCAGCAATGAGTGCAGCTGAGCCTACAGTAACCACACGACCTGGCAAGCGCGGGCATTTCCCCATTCCCTCGGCATCCTGCATTTCTGCAGCAGGCTGGCCTAAGAAATGACACCAAGGTACAAATCCCAGTGGGAAAAAAGTGGCTCCATTATATTACATGTTGAATTTGCACAAGACAGGGAGTTGGGTGCTTGTCTGTCTTGCAGGGACTGGACACTACAGAAAATTCTCAATGGCCTCCCTCTGTCGAGGTGTGTCCCTGGGAGAGAAGTGCTGCTCTACTGCACCCAAGCACAGGAGTATTTTTTCAGTGGTGAACAACTCTAGGGAACAACAGAAAAACTCCAAATAAATTAGTCTTGTTGCTCCCATAAGGAAAAAAAAAAATATATATATATATATATATATATAAAAATTCTTGTGGCCCTATTGTGCTGACAGCTGTGCAGTACCAGAAAAGTTTTTCCAACAACAGGAAAGGAGAACAGATTCACTACACAAAGCTATCAAGGCAGATAACCCTCAAGAGGTGATTATGTGAATTCCCAGAAGAGAAACTAAAATTGAACAGAGAATAATACAGCAAGCTACCAGAATTTCTATTTTGCCACTTTCATTGAGAGGCTGATTCATACTTATGATGCCAGGTAAATAAAACTGACAAGCCTGAATGGAATGCTCTGTTTGTGTCACAGGTGTGTACAGCTCTCTGAACCATCTCTTCACCAGCTGCTTTTGTTTTGTAGCTGCTGTATGAGCCTGCTATAACAAGGTTTTGACAGGTACGTGTAAGTGATTGACAGCAGACAATTAACACAGAGAAATGAACTGCAATTGGAGTCTCAAAGGTGTCACCTACAGGCCCTATCAAGTTCTCAAAAATGGATTAAAGCAGGGGATGCCCCAGCATTCCCAGAGATGACACTATGCCAAATCACCGTATGATGGAAGTGGTCTCAAGCTGCAGAAGACAGTCTGCTACCTCTAAACATTTCTGGGAAGAAGCACTGGAGGCAACTCTTCTATCAGCACCTTCTCTTGGAAAGTTAATTTGGGTGATATTTAGAGCTCCAATTCCCCCACAAACAATCTATGCCTCAGGGAGCTGTAACAGTCAGTCCTGAGAGAATAAATGGAGGGGAAAAAACCCAAACAAAAAAACCTCTCTGAAAAGAGATGCTCTGGGAGAGACACAATTCCAATAGGGCATTCTGTAGGACCAGCAATCTCCAGCAAATATGTTGTTCCTGACCTCCACATTTGCACCCCAAAGACTGATGCACCCAACACCCCAAAAGAATCAGGCTCAAGTTAGAATCTCTTAAAAGCAGTTGCCAGTACTGTTTAAAAGGTAGGAAGAAGGAAGGCAAAATTAAAATAGAGGGCAGGGATTTTATTTTGGTACCCAAGAGGGATTTTCTACACCTGCTACAAAGTCTGTGCACATCTGTTCTTCACACAAGATAAATGCTCATTTTGCGGGTGGCAACCACCCTTCTTGTGCCTCCCAGTGATCTCTGCAGGGCTTTACCATCCTCACACAAGGAACTCAAATTCTTCAAAGCATTGGCAGGGCTGGAAAGCCTCGTTCAGTTTGTAATGGACTCATGAATAAAAATGCTTTGGCATTTACTGAGGTGATCTTGGCTTGGTCAGAGCCACCTCTCAGGACACACCTGAGATGCCTGGGAGGTGTGTGAAGCACAGCTCTGGGTGCAGGAACCTGCAACCTGCCTAGAAGGAGCAAGAGGAAGAGCTAATCAGCACTTCCTGCCTCAGAGAGGGAGGAGAACCTGGCACACAGGACAGCTCCCTTGTCTGTGACTGACTGGAGGATGCACGTCCACAATAAGCCCTGACAGGCAGCTGAGATGGATTGCACTGAAGTCAAGGACTTTGAGATAGGCCTTGCTGCTGTAAACAACTTGTTCCAGGACTCAGAGACAGTGGGAAAGGCTGTGGAGAGCAGGGAGGGAGCACAAGCTGAGTGAAGTATGGGCAAACTCAACACAAGTACAACATGGAGAACCCATCAAAGTCAGGCTAATACATCACTCCTAGTTAAGAGCAGCAGTTACTTCCTTTCCCTTAGTGGAGCACTGGGACACAGAACTTGGTGTTTTCAGAGTGTTTTTCCACAGGTCCTATAAACCCAGCGTATTTTCCATGCTCCTCCATTTTCAGATGGAGGAATTAGGGCACAGACAGCACACCAACAACTGCAAAACTAGTCAGGGGCAAAAAGAGAAGTGGGAGATCTTTTAAAAAGCCCTCAGAGCCACAGCAGCACAGCCTAAGTAAGAACAGCTTCTTCTCCTGTTTCAGGGCTTAGGTACACTGCAAGTCTAATTTTTGTTACTGCATTTTACTTTTGACCCCTTTAATGTCAGTGAAGAAAATAAGCCTGATGCGTTTTTTAAAAGGAATAATCAGAATTTCTTGGGAAAGGGAGAAGAATACCTAAGATATAAAAATCTCCTTTCTCTGTGAAAATGAAGCCATACAATGGGGCACAGAGGAAAGAAGCTCACTTTTGTAACTACACATACACAAGAAAACCCTAGAAGGTATCAAAGAAATTGGTCCAAAGACAGGGCAGCTTGGCCAGCTTCACATGGCTGGCTCAGTGCCATGGTCCGATAGCCAAGAGCAGCTTCAAAGCATCATGCAAACCCTCTTAAAGCCAATATGGAAGCATAAGAACTTGCAGCAAGGTGATCATCATTGCTGCCTGCCAGGCAGGGAGGGTCACAGGCAGAAAGAAAAAGGTTTTCTTTGCTCTTCAGGAAAGAGGAGCCATGAACACCTTCCCTGGAAGGGCCTGCAAGGTAGAGCCTCAGGGGTGAACTTAATGCAGTTCTCCAGGAAACTTTGAACTGGTCATACATTTATTTGAAAGCTCCCTCACAAAAGAGGTTAATGAAAAGAAGGACAAAATTGGTAGAAAAATCAGCATCTGAGCACTGCAATGCACCCTGCTGCTTCTCCCTCACCGGGGCTGAGGAATGCAGTGGTGCATTAAAATTCAGGCAGCACTGCCTGCTCTGCAAGTGCTGCCAGGGGCACAGGACCTTATCACCTGCCTGGCTCCCAAAGGGGAAATAGCTGCTGCAAGAGAGTTGATGTTGAGATACAACAGTGTGGATCAGAAGGGCAAATAAACCCTGCCCCTCCCTTCAGTGTTAGCATTCCAAGGCACTGAGACTGGAGCAGGAGGATTTCAGGCCACAAGTGTAGGCACTTTCCTTACTCACACCATCTCCAGAGCAACATTAAAGCGTGTGCAGGCACAGTTTTGTAACAGCATCTTCATTTCAAAATAGAGATGGTGGTGCTAAGATGTCCTGAAGTCTCCTGCCCCCCTGGATGCCAAAATGGGAAAATTCTTACGCAGTTGAGCCAAACAATTTACCTAAGGCTGGCAGCAGCTCACCTGGGGACAGCAGCAGACAGAGGGCTGCTTGGAGGAAGGAGGCCTGTCAGCAGTGATTAAAGGTAGGTGACAACAAACAGCTTCCAGCCCAGCTCCAGCTTTATAATATAAACACAAGAGCTGGCTTTTTCAAAAACTTATCATGAATCAGGTCATTTCTTTAAGCAGTCCACGAGCACAATGGAAACCTCCACCAAACGTCTCATCTCAATAACCCATAAAGTTAGGACAAAGCACACACTGCTGATTCCCAAAGGTAATGAACAAATCACATGTCCCCATGACAAACCAAACCATTCAAGGGCCCAGCAAGAAAGGATCTGAAGACTAACACTCCAGTTTTTCTCCAAAACAGCACTTGAGTGCAGTACAGAAATCCACTGACATAAAAGGTACCTCCTTTGGGTTGCTGGGAATTACCTGCCCGTGTATATCCTTATCCTGTTACTATGCTGGCCAAAGAAAGGGAGATCTTTGCTAGACCAAGTATTTCTACCTCTACCTCACCACCTCAACTGCTCCTGCCAGCCAGATCTCCATCCAGGCTTCTTCAGGAAAGCTATTATCTGCATCACCATGGCCTCGGTGAGGTAAGGGCAGTCAAGAAGACACAACCTAAACAAAAAGAAATGGAGGAAACTCAGGAGAGAGCTGCCACACCGGAAATAGTCTCTTGTCAGCTGGGGAAAATAACATTATTCAAAAGCACTGATTCAAAAATTGAATAGTTATTTATTGTTCCAGAAGTACATTGCTCTTTTATACATATTTCATAAATGATACAGGATTTTACACATGTTCAGGTTTGGTGGTTTGTTGTTGTTTTTTTTTGTTGTTGTTTTTTTTTTGTTTTTTAAAGAAGGACTTTTCTCCATGCTCCCTCCCTCATCCCAAACACACACCAAGGATTCAG